TATTTCCGAAGTGATTCCAAATGTTCCTGAAGTGATTCGGTGCATTCCTAACTTATTCAATTATTTTCAAAGTGATTCCGTACTTGCGGAAATGATTACAAACTTTCTGGGATGATTCAGTACTTTCCAATGTGATTCCGAAATTTTCTGAAGTGATTCAATATTATCCGAAGAGATTCCGAGCTTAAAGTGATTCAATACTTTCTGAAGTGATTCAGTGCTTTCTGAAATAATTCATTACATTCCGAAGTGATCATGAACTTTTCCAAAGTGATTCCGAACATTTCTGAAGATATTCAGTATTTTCCGAAGTGATTCCGAACATTTCTGAAGTGATTCAGTGCATTCCTAAGTGATTCAATTATTTTCAAAGTGAACTTTCCGCAATGATACAGTACTTTCCAAAGTGATTTCGAATATTTATTAAGTGTTTCCGATCCTTTCTGAAGTGATTCAATACTTTGTGAAGTGACTCTTAACATTTCTGAAGTCATTCAGTACTTTTTGAAGTAATTCCAAATTGTTCTGAATCGATTCAGTACGTTCAGAAGTAATTCCGAACATTTCTAAAGTGATACAATACATTCCTAAGTGATTCAGTACTTTCGGAAGTGATTCTGAATTTTTATGAAGTGATTAACTACTTTCTGAAATGATTCAATTATTTTCTTAAGTTATTCAGTAGTTTTCGAAGTGATTTCGAGCTTTTCTCAAGTGATTCAGTGCTTTCCGAAGTGATGTCGATCTTTTTGACGTAGACTACGTCTTAAGGGAAGGAATTTACTGGAAGTAAATCGAAAATCTAAAATTGCGACCGTCACGAAAAGGTGTAAGGTTTTGAACGTTTATAACTTTGTCATTTATAGATGAAAATAAAATCCAAATACACCAATCGATAGGAAATAGCTCTCACAATCTGCTACAATAAATGATTTTACAATTAGTTGAAAAATGTACACCTAAAAAGTGATAATTTTTTCACTGTTTACATGAAATAAACGTGCTCCCCAAAGCAAGTCGTCATAATCGAGTACCATTTGGTTGTGCATCGTTTTGCTTGAACCTGTAAAACTATATAAGAGCTCTGTTGTCGTTCCTCCGCTCATGGTCATTAGTTGCTAGTCCATCTAGCAGTATAGTTTGTTCGTTCGTACGTTCGCTCCGGTATTGAGTTTCTTCTAATTAATTTTATTGTTCAGTTCACGTCGTCATCAACAGGCACAACATACTACTCCTGCATCGGAGAGCCCTAGTAAAAAGTCCAAAATGTACGCCAGTGCTGCCTTGGATGACGCAGCTAATCGGCTGCAACAGAGCAACAAATTCTCGGTGCTCGGAGTTGAAAATGGCGGTGGTGACGCCGCTGAAATTGCCAAAAAGGAGCGGATTTCCCCCCGCTGTTTACCACGTTGAAGAACGTTACCAAGGTTAGGGATGAGCTGGCAAAACTCAAATTGTTCCCGCGATTCAAGATCTGTAGCGTAGGAACAAAGATCATGTGCTCCAGCCTACAGCAGTACAAGTCGTTCGGTGACCTACTGAAGAACAGTACGGTGAAGTTTTACACCCACGATTTGCCTTCGGTGAAACCATTGAAGGTTTTTTTTTACGGGGACTGCCGTCGTACGAAGCGGCTGCCGTAAAAGATGAATTGGTGAGGCTCAGATTGAAATCAGAGGCATTCACCCAATGAATCGACGGCCTACGCCCAATACAAACTATCGTGACCAACTGTTCCTGGTCCAATTCACGAAGGGCTCCACCACCCTTGCTGTGCTGAAGAGCAACATACGTGACCTGTTTCAGATCATTATCTACTGGAAATCCTACAAACTAAAGAGCCTAAATTTATAAAGAGGCGACATGTCAAAATTGGAACAATCGATTGTCTGTCAAAGTCATATGAAAAGTCATTCCAATCGAGCAGAAGACCTGTCAAATGGATAAGATGTCGTCTCTTTATAAATTCAGGCTCTTTACTACAAACCACAACATCGTGATGTGACCCAATGCACAATTTGCCTCTCCTTCGGCCGTGGCACGAAGAACTGTCATATGAAACCACGCTGCGGCAAGTGTGCTATGGCCCACTCGACGGCGATCTGTTCTCAAGCTGATGATACCGAGCCGAAGTGCGTGAATTGCAGTGGTAGTCACCGTGTCACCGGGACTGCCCCAAGCGAACGGTATACATCAGGGAGAAGGTGGCTACTAGCAACCAGCCAGGCCGGCATCAAAACAGACGTACACTAAAAGCCATCACGGATGAACAATACCCGGCAATCCAGCCTCGTCACCTGGTCCCAAATCTCCCACCGCTACCTCTCAACAATCAACGGGCAGCCCCCTCAGCTCAGCATCGCCTCATTGCTGCAGCGGCTCTGCCAAATCAAGTTTCTGCCTCGGCGCCTGGACAATCGTATGTCCGTGTTGCCTCCGGCGATTCAGTTGACGAATCTCCGTTTACATCCGACGAACTAGTAACGCTGGTTGCAGAGATGATCGTCATCCTACGCACCTGCAAAGCTCAATCTGAACAGCTTCATACTGCCTTATCTCTCGTCACCAAGTATGGACCGTGAAGCTATGAAAATAGCAAATGGGAACGGTTGCTCGCTGACGAACAAGCATAGAGAGCTACACCGAGGAGATTGACATTGTTATCATCACCGAGACGCACTTGAAGCCCGAACTGAACGTATTCCTTTACGACTTTCGGCTCGTCAGACGTGACCGCACCTGCTCGGGGAGTGGCCATCGCTGCAAGACGGAACATCAGTTGTCGGCTGCTACCAAACTTCCAGTTGAAAACAGTCGAAGCCATCGGAGTGGAGGTGAGCACATCACTTGGCTCAATTACGATCATCATGGCCCTCCGGAAAGACATCATAAAACTCACCCATAGGTGCGGGAACTTCATCATCGCTGGCGTTCTGAACGCATACACCAAGCTTGGGGCAACGGTCGGAGCAATCGAAATGGCACCATCCTGAATGAAGACCTGAAAGAGGGCCACTATACCATCTTGGCTCCAGACACTCCCACCCGGTTGATTGATTGATTGATTTATCTTTATTTAGGAGGTTTTCAGCCTGAGGCTGGTTCGCCTCCAAATACCCCCCACCCGGTTGAGTGGGTCTGTGGTCCATGCGACCATCGACATCTTCGTCAGCAACATGGGATACAACATCTAGCTACCTGTGGCCTTCCAGGAGCTGAGCTCGGACCACTACCCGTTGGTCGCCGTTTGGATTTTATGAGGGTTGGACTGCGATGTGCAATACGTGCTTGGCCAAGTAACAATTTTGCTTTTAAGAGGGTTCTGTAGACCACAATTCAGACTTGTAGAATGCTATAAAACCTCTATAAAACTTGCAATGTTACTTGGGTGTGAACGATTTCCCACCGGAGGTATCCCACTGCGATCAAGCGTTTGGTTAAACGTGTTATCCATAGTAAATTTTCAACGGAGATGGGATGGACACTGAAGTGTGCACGGGGAATATATTTTATAACGGAGGATTAAAGACAAGTGTTTCGTATGCGGAAATATCCCTAATGGAAAGTCCAAAAAAATTGGAAAAATAACTAATAAGGGTGAGGAAATTGACATGTCAAGGAGAGGAAATGGAGTAAATTGAAGAAATAAGTTACTTCTACTGTAAATCAATATCAAGAAAAATGCACGAGAAGTTCACTATACATGTTAACGTTGTCTACGTCAACCATGCGGTCGTGTCTTGTACATAAACCCATCCATTATTTATTTGATACCAAACTTCTCTCCCACACCTCACCGTGAAAGAATTTTTAAAGCATCATCATGTCAAAATTTGTATCTTACGCCACTAAGTAATGCCAACTGTTGTCCGCCAATCAGGATTTGCACCGTTAGTGGTTAACCTCAATCAGATGAACTTTTTAACAGTTCAGTGGTATTATTTAACATTTTTTTCCCGATCAGGCGCACAGGCTACTTCAATTTTACCATTTTTGATTGATTGTTTCCGTAACATGTTTATCAGGGGCGGAAGCCATTTAAAATATAACATTATATATAAATTTTTCCTGGATCATGTTTATTTTTTTTAAATTTTCCGTAAACGACACTACCCATTTCACATTTATGTATGTTTTTAAATGTTTCTCTGATCATGTTTAGCAGAGGCGCAAACCACTTTAAACTTATCTATTTTGATCAATTTTTACCTGCACATGTTTACCCGAGGTGCAAGCCATTCTAAATTTATGCAAATTGCTGATGTAATTAAAATGAATAAGATTGATTACTAACTTTCCTATTGCTAATGTTCTATGAATAGAGGGCGGTCGCTTTCTCTCTCCTATTTTGAGTGGCCGAGCAAATGATACGAATTTCAATTATTCCACCTAATTCCGTCGTTTTCGTCACCATGCTCCTTTGTTTCTACTGAACAACCACGTGGACCTCTGTTTATTAATTGTTTTGGTTTTGAATTGTCTGTAAAAAAAAATCACCAGACTCCGTCCAAGAAAACAGGGGATTCACAAACCAGAAACATACTCGATATTTTGAAACTAACAAGAAACTAAAACATAACGAAAACGAATCAAACAAACTTAAAAAACAGAAACGTCATAACAGAATAAACAAATGAAGAACAAAACAGACAAGATCACTCCAATAGAGTCGAATCGTGGTTTGCAACCGTTCTTGCAGTATAGTGGATGGAGCTGGAATGATTCTAATGAACGAAAATGTAAACACACCACTTTCCGGTGGCAGCTTCTCAGCAGAGTATTTAGCACTTCGACGAGAGAGTGAAAGTCTAAGGAAAGGCCCCGAACGGATCCAATTTGGTTTCGAATGTTTGTTTGTTTTTTTTTTTTGCACGAAAATCAACCGAAAAAAGTGAAACAGAAATCAAAACGGTAGGTATCCAACGGAGAATCCCACCCGTTTGGACGTGTTTGTGGACAAGAACTGAAAAGAAGAACCCGTAAAATGGACTGAAACTTACCCTTCGGCCTGGAATTGGGAACCGGTGTCCATCGATAGACAGCCAGCACCACCGCCGAAACCGTATCCCTTCGGTCCGTACTTGCGTCCGTGGCAATTTTTGCAGTACAACTCGTTCTCGTGCTCTGCGCAGTTGGTGGAATCGAGCATCTTGCCGCACATTCCTGTTGGGGAAAGCAGAACATCAAATGAAAGGATTAGTTTGTTTATCATTTTGAGCACTTTCTTCGAAATTCATCCCAGTGTGCCCCGCTCACGCCGTGATTATTTGCCGCAAATTGACTTTTGGCAGATGTGTGTATGGATGGATTCGCACCCACTTGCCTTCCCGACCCTCGTCCCCTCCTACTTTGCGTTAAGCGTTCCACTAATGAGCCGAAAACTCGTGCCCTGTGCCAATGCACAAAGCCGCAGTAACTCATTCCTAGTTGAACACTCAGTCGGTTAACAACGTCCCGGTCTCAGTCGCGCGGCATCTAATTTTTTTCGGTGTTTTTCCGCCCGAGCGGTTTTTTCACCCCCCCATTGGGTGCCCCAAGTGACCAGTGTGCAACAGAGGAAGTGGAATTCCATGGGCCGAGCCCCTTGGAGTTGCCATCCAGCTTTAGTTCACCCCGGTAATCCATCCGGTCGTCAAGCCATTTTTTCATCATCGTGCCGACCCACCAACACCAATCATCACCACCAGCAGCAGCAAACGGACCATCTAGCTGCAACGGCTGATAGGTTGTTTACAACCGGCATAAGTATTAGACAATACATTTTGCAAGTCCATTGCCTCCCTATTGTAGTTTAATTTTGCCTCGTGGCGCGTGACTCTGTCTCTCACCCCTGGTAGGGGAGTATGGGTCATAGTGAGACAACTTTTTGCAAGTAGATATAAGTTTTTTTTTTGTTTCGATTTTTTTTTTTTTTTTCTTTTTGATTTGTTCGTACGTCGGGCAAAAAATTTAATTACTAGTAATTAAAATTAATTAATTAGTGAAGGTTTTATTTTTTTTTCCTTCTTAAGTGGTTGCGCACCGCTTTTGCGCAACACTTATGGCATCTTCCGATGCCTACGTTACGCGAACCAGATACTATGAACCGTCTTCGAAAGGACCATGGGTTGTCTTTTTTCGGCCCAAAAATAAACCTTTGAAAACTCTCGACATAACGAGAGATTTGCTGCGTAAGTATCCGGGAATCTTGGTACATAAAGAGAGATTCAATAAACTGCGTGTAGAAGCACCGACTTATGATGTGGCAAATAAAATTGCTGATCACGAGTTGTTTAGTGTTGAGTACAACATCTACATCCCTTCTCGAGATGTGGAGATAGAAGGCGTGGTCTCCGACGCGAGTCTGACTGTCGAGGACTTGAAACATGCCTCGGGAACTTTTAAAAACTCGACATTCGCTACCGCGCTAGTGAAGATACTGGATGTAAGGCAACTGCATTCAGCATCTTTGCTAGACGGTAAAAAAGTTTATAAACATTCAGACTCGTTCCGGGTGACTTTCGCAGGTTCAGTTCTCCCAAACTTTGTTAAAATTGATGGTGCTTTTTTTCCGGTGCGGTTGTTTGTACAGAGGGTATATAATTGTACCAACTGCAAAAGGCTGGGACACTCGGCCAGCCATTGCGGCAACAAAACTCGTTGTGGCAAATGTGGTGAAAACCACAAAGAGGATTCTTGCCACAAAGAATCAGTAAAATGCGCTTACTGTGGCGAGAATCCTCACCCCTTGCAGGAGTGCCCGATGTACAAACAGCACTCCGATAAAGTGCAGCGTTCAATCTCTGGACGCTCCAAGCAGACATATGCTCAAATGTTGAAGGCTGCATCAGCCGTCCAAGATGCAAACCAATTTTCGGTTTTGTCAGTTGAAGAATCGGACTCTGACTCATCCGATGAAGGTGATTCTACGGTGGTACACGCACCTTCAAAAATAGACGGTTCCTCAAAAAGAAAATGCCCCTCCCCGAAAGTGCGCCGTAAGAAAACTAAAGTCACCTCCAGACGGTTGCCAAATTCCCAGGGTAATGGGGATGAAAAAACAAAACCGAAGGCTCCTGTTGATCCAATCCCTGGATGCAGCAAGAATTTTCCGCCATTGCCCAACAAAGATAAAAAAAATAAAAAAGCTGCTCCTCAAACTTCTCAAAAGAAATCCAAGTCCGAACGAGGTTTGCTAGCTTTTTCGGACATTGTGGAATTCATATTAAACATGTTCAACATACAAGACCCTCTAAGAAGCTTAGTTTCTGCCTTGCTTCCAACGTTAGAATCATATCTTAAGCAATTGACTGTTTCATGGCCCCTCCTTGCATCAATCATATCTTTCGATGGATAATTCGTCGAACGAGGTTGAAGATATGATCACTGTGCTACAGTGGAACTGCCGTAGTCTAGTGCCTAAACTAGACTCGTTCAAATTTTTACTTCACAATTCTGATTGTGATATATTTGCTCTCTGTGAAACATGGCTTTCTTCCGATAAAGAACTCAACTTCCACGATTTTAACATTATACGCCTGGATAGAGACGATTCTTATGGAGGAGTACTTTTAGGGATCAAAAAGTGCTACCCTTTCTACAAAATTTCCCTTCCTGCTCTATCCGGCGTCGAAATCGTTGCTTGCCAAATAAATGTGAAGAACAAAGATCTTTGCATAGCTTCAGTATACGTTCCACCAAGAACCTCCATTAGCCGTAGTCAACTCTGGAATCTAGTTTCGATTCTTCCATCCCCAGTATTAATTCTGGGTGATATGAACTCCCATGGTACTGGGTGGGGCGATCTATATGACGACAATAGAGCGGCTATTTTTTACGATTTATGTGACGATTTCAATTTGACTATTTTGAACACTGGTGAAGCGACACGTATAGCAAAACCTCCGGCTCGAGAAAGCCGACTCGACCTATCTTTGTGTTCAAGATCGCTATCATTGGATTGTCAGTGGAAGGTTATCAATGATCCCCATGGTAGCGATCATTTGCCAATCATCATTTCAATAAAGTGTGGCCCTCACTCTGCAGAACCATCTCGGGTTCCATTTGATCTTACAAGGAACATCGACTGGCAGAAATATGCAACGGCGGTGACAATCGGTGTCGAATCAATAGATGCGCTTCCACCATTGGAAGAATATCGATTCCTAGCCGATTTGATTTACAAAAGCTCACTGGAAGCACAAAAAAGAAAAGTTCCAAGTGCACCCTTTAAAAGGAGACCAGCCACACCTGGTTGGGACGAAGAATGCACAAAATTGTATGTAGAAAAATCTGATGCTTTCAAAGCTTTTCGTAGACACAAAACCTCCACTTACTTCGAGGAATATTCAAAGCTTGAGACAAAGCTGAAACAATTAATCAAAGCAAAAAAACGCGGTTATTGGCGCAATTTCGTCGAGGGACTCTCACGAGAAACCTCAATGAACACCTTGTGGAGGGTGGCCCGCAACAAGCGTAACCGCTCATCTTTCAATGAGAGTGAAGAATACTCCAACCGATGGATATTCGATTTCGCTAAAAAGGTCTGTCCGGACTCAGTTCCAGCACAAAATATTCTTCGAGAAGCGTCTCCTAGCGGCGGCTCTCTGGATAGACCATTCTCAATGCTGGATTTCTCTATGGCTCTTCTTTCATCGAACAACTCCTCACCGGGAAGCGATATGATTAAATTCAATCTTCTGAAAAATCTCCCAGATATCGCTAAAAGACGCTTGCTAGATTTATTCAATTCCTTGCTAGAAAACAACATTGTACCGCCTGAATGGAGACAGGTCAAAGTAATAGCCATTAAAAAACCTGGCAAATCAGCGTCTGACCATAACTCATACCGTCCGATTGCTATGCTTTCGTGCATTAGGAAATTGTTGGAGAAAATGATCCTTCGGAGACTCGATCACTGGGTCGAATCAAATAACTTGCTATCAAATACACAATTTGGGTTCCGCAAGAGCAAAGGAACAAACGATTGTCTAGCGCTGCTTTCCACAGATATTCAACTGGCCTTTGCACACAAGGAGCAATTGGCTTCAGTATTCTTGGACATTAAGGGGGCTTTTGATTCAGTTTCCATTGAAATTCTGTCAGACAATCTGCACAGATGTGGACTTTCTGGAATTTTAAATAATTTCTTGTACAATTTGTTGTCAGAAAAGCAAATGAACTTTTCCCTTGGACAACTGACAACTTCCAGAATTAGCTACATGGGCCTGCCCCAAGGCTCATGTCTCAGCCCTCTTCTTTATAACTTTTACGTCAAAGATATCGACAACTGTTTGGCAGAACAATGCACGCTAAGACAACTTGCAGATGACGGTGTGGTTTCCGTAAGAGGTCCACATGCCGTGGACTTGCAAGGACCATTGCAAAATTCCTTAGATAACTTGTCTTCTTGGGCTATGAATCTAGGGATCGAATTCTCGCCGCAGAAAACTGAACTGGTAGTGTTTACTCGAAAGCGGTACCCAGCCCAAATGCATCTTAATCTTTTGGGCAGAAACATTACTCAATCATTGTCTTTCAAGTACCTTGGGGTCTGGTTTGATTCAAAGTGCACTTGGAATGCCCATATTACGTATTTGAAGCAAAAATGTCAGCAGAGGATCAACTTTCTCCGTTCAATTTGCGGCACATGGTGGGGTGCTCATCCGGGAGACCTCATAACGCTTTATAAAACAACTATTCTCTCTGTTCTAGAGTACGGCTCTTTCTGCTTTCTCTCGGCAAGAAAAAGTCACCTAATAAAATTGGAACGAATTCAATATCGTTGTCTGCGTATTGCTCTAGGCTGTATGCACTCAACGCATAACATGAGTCTCGAGGTTCTGGCAGGAGTAACACCCCTCCAGAACCGTTTCTGGGAGCTCTCTCTCAGAATACTAATCAAATGCGGAGTGACGAACACACTTATAATTGCTAATTTTGAAGAAATTCTTGGGCTGAACACACAATCTCGATTTATGAGAATCTACCACCACTACATATCATCAGATATGTGTCTTCCTTGTTATACTCCAGACCGTGTTCACTTCACCAATCGCAGTTCCTCAATTGAATATGATCTGACCATGAAACAAGCAACTCATGGGATTCCCGATCAACTTCGACCTATTATTATCCCACGTATTTTTACTGAAAAGTACCAACAAGTCAATTGCATGAAAAGA